TTGGATCTTGGGCCGATCTCTACCGCGCCTGATTCCCCCCACTTCTTCATCTCCCACTTCAACATTCATGATCATGATTTAGACAATGCTACGACTAGGAGAGTTATTGATCGGATCAAACAAGAACTTGCCCTTGCTCGTCGCACCCCAGATCGGTATGTCCTCGTGCTTGCTGGTGATTTTGATCTTTGCGCGGAGCCGCCTCAGCAGAGCACGCCGCCTGCGCATCTCGAGCCCCGCGCTGCCCTCCAAGAATGGCGACGGCAGAGGGCCTCTGCCTGGCAGGAGATATTTTCGGCATTGGTTGAGATAGAATGTTCTGAGCCTACACGCTATAATGGCGTACAACAACACACTTCGAAGATAGACAGAACATTTACCCGCCTTCCTGGTCATTATTTTACTTGTCTCCAGGTGGACATAACTGCATGCGAATACCCAGAAACACTTGAACAAAAAGGAATATCAGACCATGCCGCCCTTCTCGTTCGTCTCCGTCATCGCGAGCCCCCCGATGAGGATGCCCGCCCAATCGCCAAGCAGTTTTTTTTCAGCTCCCGCTCTTTAAGCAGTTTGTCCAGCAGACCTGGGAGGAGAGTGACGCGTCGTCTCTCAGCCCGCCCCAGAAGTTGCTTTTCTACAAGGAGGTTTTGAAAGGAGGTGCCCGACAGGCTCGCAATGCCCCCCCACGAGAAGCCCTTCAGGACCCGGCCGCACAATTACTACTTATGAGATCTATTAGCCGTTGTGTTTGGAGAAATGATATGAATCTCGCCCGAAAGCTGATGATGTACCCCATGGTCCTAGAGCTCCTCAACGTGGACCCCATCGCCTCCAGAGTCTCCCTCTTGGATCCTCAGAGGTTCTCTGATATGCTGGGCGCTCTTCAGTTTCAGGACGCCGTCCGCGAGCAGCGCAGGGTCACGGACCAGCTACCTGCTGCGAGGTCGGAGTCCAAGCGTGCTAAGCTCCGCCAGCGCCTCAGGCGCCTGGTCAGGCGCAGCCGGCTGTGGGCCCCTTTTGACAGACGCCTGCAGCTGATTGGGGTTCGCTCAGGCAACCGCATCTTGACTGACCAGCTCGAGATGCAAAACGTAATTGCCACTCATTGGGGACCGGTATTTCGGAAGAAACCAGTGGACGAAAACGCAGGACAAAAGGTATTTGGACCGCTGGTGTGCCCAAGTCGATCTTCGTGACCCCCCTCCTCCCCGTTATCATGATATGGGAAAATGCATCAGACACCTCGCCGACTCGGCCCCTGGTCCTGATGCCATCTATTATAGTTAGTGCTTACATGTGCGGTCCATATGCTTGCGACGTGCTCTTGGAGGTCCTCTCCTGGATCCTCAATGGGCAACCCATGTCTAGAGGCTTCAACTCGGTCCTGATGGTATTTACCCCCAAAGGAGAGGAGGAGGAGGACGTCAAGAATCAATGCATTCGCTCCGCGAGTGCTCTTCGACCCCTCGGCCTCAAAAACACTGGTAACAAGATTATTGTTGGTGTATCCCATCTTCAGCTAAACAAGATCATGCCATCGTTCGCCGCCAAAATACAGAGAGGATTCATTCGCTCTAGAAACTTTGGCAACACCATCGTCGAACTAGACGCCATCTCACGCATTCATTCCACTCGCCCTCGGCTCTGATTGACCTTCCCGCCCTTATCAGTTCTGACTTTGGACAGGCCTTCCCGAGTCTTAGCCACCAATGGCTTCACCGAGTGCTGGGCTCCATGAATGCACCCGACCCTTTGCGTACGCTGGTCTACACTATTTACACGAATGTGATGTGCTATGGTGCGTTTATGACCTCTACCCTGTTCTTGTTCTTTCAGGATTGTGGGATTATCCAAGGATGCCTGGCTTCGGGCACGCTGTTTGCCATTGCCACGGACTGCTTTTTCACTGATATGGAGGCCGCGCTCTCTCGCCACTCCGCTGGCATTGCGCGTGCTTGTGCTGATGACGTGGGCGCATCTATTCGCCGACTGGAAGACATGCGTCTCTTGCACCGTGCCTTCTCGACAATTGAACGGACTGCGGCGCTGAAGCTGAAGACGACGAAATGCAAGATCGCGCCGCTGGCTGACGCCTACTCGCCGATCCTCGCGCGTAGATATGTGAGATGGCTTGCCGGGAATCTGCCCGCTTGGGCTTGCTTTGAGGTCACTCCCGTGCTGAAATACCTCGGCCTCTGGTTAGGCCCTGCCGCGCTGCTCCACTCCTGGAGAGCTCCCGTCGCCAAATGGCTGGACCGTGGCTCGAGACGGGCCTCCCAGGGTGCGCCGTTCTCGGTCGCCGCTCAGAACTACGAAAGCAGAGTGGCTTCAGTGCTCAGCTATGTGTCTCAATGTTTGCCTCTCCCTTCTGAAGTTGCCAGACAAGAGCCAGCAATGTTTGCTCGTCTTGTTCGGGCCCCGAACTGTGTGATCCCCCGTGCGGGGTGGTTTGAGCTCGCCCAGTGGGGCGGCCCTCGAGTCTCTAGTATCCAGGCTACTTCTATCGCTGCTCTGATCCCAGCGAGCCGTCTGCACGTTGTTTCCTGGAGAGAGACGCTTCCAGCTCTCTCTGCTGTTGCCGAAGAGCAACTCCCCATCGTCCAGCGCGTCATCCATCACACGCTCTCGCCATATGTCTGGCTTCTCCCCTCGTTCTGCGAGTTCCTTGCTGCTGCTGATGCTGCCTTCCCTCGCCCCGTCGGCTCCCATCTTGTCACGTCCAATGCTCGCTCTCAACGGAGTGTCTCACGTGCTGCCAAACTCGCCATCGAATCTCTAGCTGAAGCGATTGCTGAGGCACCTGACCCCAGCAAATTCAAGGTTCAACGTCATTTAAAGATCAAGATTTCTGAGAGCCTCCACCCACCGTGTCTCTCTGAGGTTTTTGCCTCTCGGCTGGCCCAGTGGATGCCCATCTCACTTCCTGAGGCCCGTGGTCTTCCGTGGGATGCCCTGCGGTCCGAGCTTTCTCGTTCCAGTGTTTCGTTCTCGATGGCCGTTCTTAAGGTGCTGATGGGCGGATGGGCCACCGACAGGAGGTTTCAAGAAAATTTCGCCATGCATGCTTGGCTGCAGTGACGGGCTTGATGAGCTCGCGCACTACTGGTGCTGCCCGCATTTCACACGTCATCTAGCCTCTCTGTTGCACCTTGATTTCCAGGCTTTCTCGTCCACCTCTCCTCTTGGTCGTCTTGGCATTGCTCTCCCCTCTCGCTCCTCCCTCGCCGTTCCTGCCGCTGCCACCATCTTGTTCACGCATCTCCATGCACAGCCCGAGCGCCCGATCTCGGCCGACAAGGTCGGCCTCATAATTCCCACCGCGAGGTGGGCGCTAGAGCGGCTGTAGACTGACGGACGTGGCGCGCGGCCACGTGCGAGGAGGCAGGAAAATGGGGTGACGAAGCGTACGAGGAGGGAGTAGGAAGAGGAATAGGACGAGGATGAGGAGGACAAGGGGCAGGAGGGGGGGAGAGGAGGAGCGGTGACGGGGCACGCAGACAGGGACAGAGGAGGGATGCTTTGGACGAGTAAGAATTAGGAGGGGGGAAGGAGGCACACAGGCCGGGACAGGGAAGGGATGACTAGCTCAAATGTGAATGAGGAGGAGGGAGGAGGAGCAGAATATGACAGGAGGAGGAGGAGGAGAAAAAGGAAAAGAGAGACGGGGACAGAGGGATCAGAAGGGCGACAAGTAAGGCGGAGGTAGAGGGAGGATGGGGAAGCTGCACCCGGATGAGGAGCGCGGATGCGCACGAGGAGCCCCAGTGGTCCGGGTGCAGGGAGACGCCGCAGCAGCAACAGGAGGAGCATGACGAGGAGAACAAGGGGGGCAGAAGGGTGACGACGAGAAGGAAGCGGGACCAAGCTGTGGTCGAGAGCCATTCAGGTCTCGCGCCACCCCTTCCGGCCCGGCACGCCTCGGCGCGACACGCGAAACAGCTCCCAGTCCACAAGGTTCAACGTCCCGAGGCTTTCCCAGTCTCCCGCCCCGCGGAGCCCAGCGACATGCTATCCGCTCGCGGGGCACAGCTTGTCGCCAGGGCTGCCGCCGCGACTCGCTGAGCAAGACATCCGGAGCGTAGGAGGAGGAGGGTAACTCTCTAATCGCGCGGCCCATGTGTATTCGACACTCCCAGACATTCGATTTGTTTTCCACTCCGCGGCCTCCTTGCTCCTGGGCCCTCCCTGTGGTGGGGTGGGGTGGGGTGGAGGGGGGGGACTGGGGGGGGGGGCAGGTTCGCGTCCAGGAGATGGGGCCCAACAGCAGGCCCAACAGGCCAAAACGAGAAAAATCCCCGGTTCAGAAAGAGCTGATTCGTCGGAGATCTGGAATCGGGGATCGAGAGTTCGGCATCGCTCGGACGTGCGAGGACGCACGAGACTGAACATTGCGCGAGGAATGGACGTCCGAGCGATGGCAGGATTGGAGACACCGGGCGCGGCTACGACGAGGATAGATCCGTTCCAGAGCGTTCCCAAACGCTCTCAGGGTTCCGGAACGCTCTGAGAAGGCCGCGGCGCCCGACACATACTCCAGAGCCGCCAGATCTCAGAGATCCTCGATCTATCCTCACCCGATTTGATCCTCGTCTTGGTTTCGTCTTAGCTGTTGAGGCCAGCTGTGACAACGTGGGGGGGGGGCATTGTCCTGTGCACAGCCCGAAACCTCACCACTGGGGCTCCGCCTGGGGGCCTCCCCGCCACGGCTGGATGCCCGCCTCGGGGTTTTGGTCGGGGCGCGCCCCAGGAGAGGTCTGCAGCTCGAACCTGGGGCCCCGCTCCTCTCCTCCACCCTCCCCTGCTCCTCCCCCTCTTCCTCCTCCTCCCCCTCCTCCTCTTCCTCCTCCTCCTCCTCCTCCTCCTGCTCCTCCTCCTTTTCCTTCTCCTTTTCCTGATCCTCCTCCTCCCCCTCCTCCTCTTCCTCCTCCTCCTACTCCTCCCCCTCCTCCTTCTCCTGCTAGCTTCGTCTCAGAGGGGGCAGCGGCGGCCCTGCCGAGGCGTTCGAGACGTGGATCCTCTCGTTCATCGTGTGGGCCAGCGGCGGGTGCGCCGCCCCGCCATCCCCCGCGTGCCTCCGCCGGGTTGGCACAGGAGGGGGCCCAGCTCAAAGGGGGGGCGTGCCATATACCATATACTTTCTGCGTCGGCGGCTAGGCGGAGCAACTGCGCTGGCGGAGAAGCTATCATATCAACGGGGGCACCGTTCAGCGAATTGTGCCACAACGCAGGAAGATGGGAGAGGACGCGGGGGGCGGCCGCAGGAGGGGGGGGGAAGGGACGGGGGCCACGCAGAGGGACAGGTCGTGCCCGAAGCGGGTGCCGCGGCCAGCCCCGCCGGCGGGGACAGCGGCGGCTGCTGCGCCGGGGTGCCAGCGGCGGCGGGGCCCAGTGCGGAAGCCGAACGGGTCCAGCGGGTCGTGCCATATACAGTCGGGGCCCTGGAGAAGGAACCATTTTCGTTGGGGAGGGGCTCCGCGTTCCTTAAGTGTTTCACAGCTTGCCTCAGGTTGTCCTCTATGTTATCCATAGGAAATCGAAGCTTAACTTATGGAAAAAATGGGCCTCGTTCCTCATTTAGGGTTCCTCAGGTCAACGCCCCGACTGTATACAGCCAGCCCGCATAATAAGGATGGGCATCCTTCCCAAGGGTACCCTTGCATCCTTGCCCCCTCGGCCCGTCGTTGGCCACTTCTCGGGTACAGCCAGGGCCCCAGGTGAGGGGCCCGGTTAGTGGTGGGGCCCTGGATCCCCTGAATTGGCCAGAGTCACTAAACCAGGCCTGCCGTATCTGGTGTTTTCTCGGGTGACGGCAGTTCCGGTTAGTGGAACGGGGCGGGGGGGGCGTCCCCCAGTACACATCATTGAACCAGGTCCCACTAAACCCAAGTCTGCCAGCGCCCGAACTTCCTTGGCCGCGCCCCGCTCGTAAAGCTTTGGAATGGGCGTCCAAGGCCATTGCATCCTTATCGCACATCCTTATGATACGGGCCGGCTGTACTTAATTAGGAAAACTGTATTGCAAATGTACTGCGGCAGAGGAGTCGTCGAATTGTGTCGCAACGAATGTATACTGGCCGCGACAAATCCAGCAAGACATCTGCGCCCGGGATTTGATCGCATGCGCCAAGTCTGCTGCCACCTCACGTATCCATTGCACCGAATATGTTGCACCACACGGGGCGGACTGGACCCCCTTTTGAGTCAGTCAGAGTCCTTTTTCGTTTCTTCCTTCCCCCCCCCTCCCCTCGTTCTTCCATCCCTCTTCCTTGTAACTCCGCCCTGTCGCACCCCCAGACGTGCCGATAGGGCAGGCAGGGTATTCAACTCGAGACCTCCGCACCACTTGCGATCCTGAAGCTTGAGATACGCAACAGGCTCACGGAGATGGTTTCCATACTTGTGTTTTTGTTCTGGCGCCGCGGAAGTTCGTCTAACAGCTTGCAGCGGTTTCGCGGGCGGAGGGAGCTCTTTTTCCAACACGCGGTTCCCGAAACGGCCGAGAGCGCCAGTGAGCAGAGGGCGCCCGCCGCGGCAGGCGCGAGGCGCAGCCCCACGGGGCACAGTCCCACGGGGCGACTGTCTGAGTGAGTGGGTGAAGGTTTCTTAGAAGCAGCCTCCTTCTAAGAAGCCTTCACCCCTCCCCCTACCCCCTTTGTGCGCGCCGCCATGGCGGTTTCGGGGGTTGCTAAAGGTGTCCCTGGCCCCAGGTGCCCCCAGCTTTCCGCTCACCTCTGTAGGCTTTGGGGCCCTCTGGGCCTCGTGAGGGGTGCTCTGGAGGCCGTGGGGGCTTCCTTGGAAATCCTGGGGGCACCCTGGGCCAGGGGCACTTTCGGCAACAGCCGACGATCGGAGGGTGGGAGGGTGGTCGTCGCTGGACTCGGCAAGCACATGCCATACTGGAGCAAGGGCGCGCGTAAGCGCTATGAGGGGCAACGCGTGCCTGCATACGGGGGTTCCCAGCAGCACCTTAGGACCTCCGCTGTGCAACGCGCTTATCTTGAGAGTAGAAGAGGAAGAACATTGACAGATAAATGGAAGGAAGCAGGACAGGAGCCATCAACCCTCTCGAAGCTGATGCCGCCGCTTGGGCTAGGTACGCCCCGTGAGCTCGGGACGGTGCAGCTGCTCCATCAAGTAAGAAGCCGTCCTGCCAGACGGTGCCCCAGGGAAGGCTCTGGCCCGCCAACATCGGGCTGGGTGCCCGCAGAAGCCCTGGAGTACCTCGTGCCTTCCGCATCCCAACGAAGAGTGTAAGATTTTCCCTGGCAGGCTTTCGTATCGCCTGCGCCTGCTGCAAGAAGTGTTGAGGTGAGGCAGCGGCCACAAGCCAGTTCAGCGGGCTACTCTAGCCCCCAATCGGAGGCCTCAAGGTCAGAGGCCTCCTCGAAATCCTCGGCGCCCGCGTCGCGCTCGAGGAGGCTCGCGTCCAGGTCCCAAACGGCAGGGAGCCCGTCCTCCTCCAGACCGCACGTTCGCAGCTCAGCGGCTCCTGCCCCGCAGCCTCGCCCTCTACCCCCCGCCGTCTCGTCCTGAGCCGCAGTGCTAAGGATGGCACCTCCTCCTGCCTCCTCCTGCCTCCTCCTCCTCCTCCTCCTCCTTCCTCCTCCTCCTCCTCCTCCTCCTCCTCCTCTTCCTCCTCCTTTTCCTCCTCTTCCTCCTCTTCCTCCTCCTCCTCGCACTCGCATGTCCTCGGGCACCCCCGTGGGCGGATCGTGGCGCAGGTCCCTCAAACCCTTCTTGTAGGAAGGCCAGCGTCCACAGTGGACCAAGCGCAGCTGCTCGCTCCGGCCCGGAGACGCGCGGTCTCGGAGGCACGGCTTCGGCCCAGTCGGGGTGGGCTTGTACCTTGAGAACAGATACCGCAAACACAACTACGACAATAACACAAACAATAATGTTAATAGTGTTCGCTCTTATCTGCTCGAGTGTCATTCAACGTGTATTCCCCAAGCCCTCGATACCCGCCCTCTTCGTCTCCGATCGTACCCCCTTTGGGGGGTATATCTTTCTTCCCTGCTGCAGGCCGGGCCCCAGCTAGCGGCGGGGCGGCCGCGGACCGTCGGTCTGGCCAGCATCAACGCTGACTGGCGGCAGCCCGACCCCCAAGAGGGACGGACAGGGGACCGACCACGACGACGACGACGGCAACGAGCGAAAGCGCAAGTGTGAGCGAGGGCGACAACGGGGCTGCGAAGGGCAGCAAGAGGCCACCTGGGGCGACAGCGGGGCCACGAAGGGCATGTGTATAGGGCCACGGAGGGCGAGAACGAGCGGGGGCCACGAAGGGCAGATAATGCGGGGCCACAGAAAGGGCAACGACGGGGCCACTGAGGGTAGCAACGGGGCCACGAAGGGCAGCGAGGAGGCCACAAAGGGCGACAGCGGGGCCACGAAGGGCATGCATATGGGGCCACGACGGGCGCGAACGAGCGGGGGCCACGAGGAGCATGCCGGGCCGCAGAGGGCAAAGACGGGGCCACTGACGGCAGCGACGGGACCACGAAGGGCAGCGATGGGGGCCACGAAGGGCGACATCGGGGCCACGAGGCGCACGCATATGGAGCCACGACGGGCGCGAACGAGCGGGGGCCACGACGGGCATGCATATATGGGGCCACGAAGGGCAGCGAGGGGGCCACGACGGGCTGCAACGGGGATCCACGAAGGGCAGCGAGGGGGCGACGAAGGGTTGCAACGGCGCCACGAAGGGCAGCGAGGGGGCCACGAAGGGCTGCAACGGGGCCACGAGGGGCAGCGAGGGGCGACGAAGGGTTGCAACGGGGCCACGGAGGGCAGCGAGGTGGCCACGAAAGGCTGCGACGGGGCCACGAAGGGCAGCGAGGGGGCCACGAAGGGCTGCGACGGAGCCATGGGGGGCAGCGAGGGGGCCATGAAAGGTTGCGACGGGGCCACGAAGGGCAGCGAGGGGGCGACGAAGGGTTGCAAAGGGGCTTCGGATGGCAGCGAGGGGGCCATGAAGGGCTGCAGCGGGGCCACGAAAGAGCAGCGAGATCCCGATTCTTGAGTAAGCTGTGAGGGAGTCTTAAACGTGAGCGCGACTTCTGGGGACCTGAGTGTCGGGGGCGCGGCGCTTGAGTAAGTTGCGGGGAATTCCAACGCAAGGGCGCGATTCATAAGTAAATTACAAGCAAGTCTCCAGGGAAAGCGCGGCCCCAAAGCGCCGAGAGAGCGAGTCTTGGATAAAGTGTAAGGAACTCCCAGGCGAGAGCGCGACTCCTGAGTAAAATGCGAGGGCGTCTCAGGCAGGAGCGGGCTTCCTAGCTAAATCGTGAAGGAGTCTCAGGCGGGAGCCGTTGTTGTTGTAATCTGGGGGCCAACAACGCAGTTTGCGCAGAGTGACCCTCTTTGATTGTTCCCGACCATCCTGTGGTGTTGGGTCCTCGTTTTGAAGAGACGTCGCCCCGCGTTCCTTCCTCCTCCTTCCTCCTTCTCCCCTTCCTCCCCCCTCCCAGCATCATCATCATCATCATTATCATCATCATCATCGTCATCGTCATCACCATGATCATCATCGACATCATCGACGATACATCACCACCATCATCATCATCGTCATCGTCATCACCCAATTCGGCACACCCCTCACACGCTTCGTGGCCCCATAGGGAGCTCCACCGAAGGCCCCTGTGGCTGCGTTCGCATGCGCCCACCGCGCCCATTTCAGCGCACCCCTCACACGTTTCGTGGCCCCACAGGGAGCTCCACCGAAGGACCCAGTGGCTGCGTTCACATGCGCCCACCGCACCGATTTCGGCACACCCCACACACGCTTCGTGGCCCCATAGGGAGCCTCACCGAAGGCCCCCGTGGCTGCGTTCGCATGCGCCCACCGCACCCAGTTCGGCACACCCCTCACACGTTTCGTGGCCCCACAGAAGCTCCACCGAAGGCCCCAGTGGCTGCGTTCACATGCGCCCACCGCACCCATTTCTGCACACTCCTCATACGTTTCGGGGCCCCATAGGGAGCCTCACCCACGCCCCCCGTGGATGCGTTCGCGTGCGCCCACCGCGCCCAGTTCGA